AAATTTTGCATATCGACTTCATAGACTTAGTTGCTGTCTACGGAATATCCTATTTAGTTTTCTAAAATTGTTCATGAGTTGGGAGTTTTTAAAAACTAGAATACACGAAGTGGAAATCGATGTTTTTTTTGTGTCACGTCACCAATGGTAGTGTTTTACCAGTAACTCCTCTGAACAAAGCTTCAGAGCGCTGATCTTTTTTAGGATCTCTAGAGTAACTTAATATCCATGCAACGTATAGAAATCAGATCTAAGAAAGCTCATTATCTCGAGATACACATATTTTACTTTTTCGAAGTCACGTCGCTAGCAAATGATTTTGCCCATATACTGAAACCATTATTAATAATGAAGAGGATAAAATTGATATACTCTTAGGTAAACTATTTAGACAAGATTGTTGCATAGACTAACTTTTCTCTCATAGATTGTACAAATTATGTACCGCAGCCATCCACAAATACTATCATTTCATCTCGGAAGCCATTAGTCGAAAACTCGTCTCTGCTCTCGCTAAGCTTATCAATCTCGTTTGAAGAAGAAGGGTGTGAATGTAGATTGGCGAGCGTGAGTGTACATCTTCTATTGACCCACACCCACCCACACCCTCAACATGCATGAAATTACCGGACGCTCGGAACCTTATTTCATGCTTGCAGCATATTACATCGGCTACTTACCGTCTATACTAACAACAGTTGTATTCATTCTTCCTTCGAAAATATACAAAGCGCAACTCTTTCAAGTATTATAATATTTCATCAGATATCGGCGTAATAACTAATCTTGTTGAATCATTCAGCTTGTGGATGAAATGGTTCATAAAAAAATATAATACATTCTTAAATGATGAGGTACAAAAGCCGAGTTTCAATTTTCGAATAAATTCTGAAATAAAACTAAGGAGAATGTTGGTGTGAGTCTTAACTTCAGACTTACATCCACATGCAGTCACTGAAGAAGTACTAAATTAAATTTTTGTCAGGGCCACTGTTACAATTGCTTTATCGATAAGAGGAAATCATTTTTCCGTTTTCAAATTGATATTTTGCATGATTACGAACAGCCACCAAATCTGTCTTATTATGTTCTGAAGACAGTGTGAAGTCTTCAGAAGAATTAACTGGATAATGAATTACCTGTAAATGAGATTGAAAGTTCCATAGTCGAGAAGGTGTGAATGTGAGTGCGCGTGTAGGTGTGCGCGTAGCTGGTGATGTTATAGGTATGGGTGACGGTAAACTCTTCCCTTACACTCACACCCATATCCAGACCCACACCTACACCACACCCACACCCACCCTCCAATGAAATACGTAGTAGCATGTAAATGAAAATGTGAAGAACATGTACGAATCCATAGCAAACAAAGCAAAAATTGAATGATTGTTCGTTATTTTTCTTCAACTCAAGGCAGTAAAAATAAATTTTTATGAATCAAGCTTTTATTTGATTTAAGGGTACCCTTTCCGAAGTTTCTTGGGAACGGCTCATCCAAAAAAATTGAAATTTCCAGGACAGAGAAATCTTGATGAGTACAGCAAAAGTTGTCATACACTCAAGATTCTCGAATGCGGTCTTCTATGAGATAATAGGGTCACAATGGCAAAAAATGGCTTCTAGTTTTCGTCCCCGTTTCTCCAAGACGGTGTGTTCGATTGAGCTGAGCATTTTTAACAGGTTCTAGACACTCTTTGGAATGGGTATTTTTTTTTACTTTCTTTCTATCTTTTGCCATTTCAATAAAAAAGTCAAAATACCGAGCCTACTCTAAAAAATGCTTGTCTTTATTACTAGAGCAAATTTTGTTAAAGCTGCCAAAAATCACCAGAGCAATAGTTCTTAAAAAGAAAAAAAATACCTACCCCAAATAGTGACTAGAATATGTGAAAAAAGTTCCAGCTCGATTTCTCTTACCGTGTAGGAGAAACGGGGGCGAAACAGTACTTTTTATGTTAAAAATTTGATTTTGAGAAAAAAGGAAAAAAACATACCATTTCAGCTATCTTCATTATGTAAACTTGATTTCTGCTCGATTTTGGGTGTGAGTGTGGGTATCAGTTTTCTCCACACCCACACCCTGGGAGTGTTGGTGATTGTGTGTAATATTTCCATCTTAGCCCACACCTCACACCCACCCATACCCACGCACACCCTCCTTTTTGAGAAATGATAAATGATATTTCATTAGAAGGAGTAGTCATTATATCTAAAATAACTGAAAATCATTTCGTAGATCTTTAACTATTAACAGCCATCAATCAAAATTCTATTAGTATAAGCATTATTAATGAAGTACCGAAAAGAAACTAATTAATCAATAAAGATTAATATTTATCTATTATATTCGTATATTTACCTGCGAATGACTTAAAGAATAAACACTTATAATGGAATGAATCAACCAAACAAATAAGAAATTTTTAATGAATGTCTTATAGCGACGTCTTACGACTATTTATTCTTTTCCTTGCTACATTTTTCTTTTTGGTGTTTTCTTTTTCGATATTTTTCCTCATTTTCTCTATGTTTTTCCTTTCCATATTATTTCTTTCTTCATTTTTCCATCATACCATATATCATCATGAGTTGCTAATGGAGTCCATCAAACTTTAACTGACGTTTGAATTTGTTACTTTAATTGTACATAGTCATATAAAATAGAAAAGAGAGACAGAAAAAGAAAAAAAAAGACAGCAGTGCTCTCGAACAAAAAAACGTGGCGATTGATCGAAAACACTCTTACTATTTACATGAGTTTAGTGAGAGGATTGTCCTGTCGAAAAGTAATTCTCTGACTAGGACTTTGTAAGTAACACAGCACATAAAACCAGAGATGGGACGATTTGGTTGAAAAAAGCACGAGTCGATTCTATCTAGCATTAGTATTTACATAAATTCGTTAGCTTATTTCAAGCTTTGACTCATTTCTATTCGATCTAAAGTTTCTAAAAAAAAACACAAACCGATCAAATTTCCGATGCAAATAAAGCGATACTCAGTTGTTGTTGGAAAATTATTTTCTTATCAAAACTGATCTATATACGTCGGAAACTAAGTGAATTTGATATCTCTCTTAATATCCTATTTCTTTTCTAGATAAATAAATGAGATGTTCACCACAATCAAAGTGTTCTTTTGACATAGAAGTTTTAAAAGTATGTTTATATATTATGCATTAGCCTTTTTTTTCTACAATTTGTAAGGTTCTATCACATAGTTTCATCTACGTTCGCTTGCACTTTCAGTTGCTATCAAAACTTCTTTCAATGAGTTGCATGTTTTGGAGTTTACATTATCCTCAGAGAACATATTCAGTTCTCTTCTATCTGGTGATCTTAGAATCTTTCCAGAAGAAAATATTTATTTGACTAAAATATAATTCTTGAGAAAAAAATTTCAAAAGAAATTTAATTTTGTGAAATATTGAATTTGTTGTAATAGCGCGAAACTTCTTGTCATAACGAAAAATAAGGCTACGAAAAGAACATCAGAATATTGCGGTGCTGTTTCTTCCTAGCTAAAAACACCATATTTGAAAAATTGCTTCTTTCTGAGAGGCTGTGGAATGGACAACTAAAGAACTAATTGATGGTATTGTTTTTGAATTGAAGATATTAAGCAAGAATCTGATTTGAAAAATATAAAACTACAAATCTGCAATAGTATCCTACATACAGGCCTAGCAGCGGTACTATCCTGATTTTACTACATATATATATCTTTTCGAGACAGAATATTTTTGTATAGGTTAAAATCACATTTTGCATCCCATGTTTTCAATGACATGTTCTACATGAGAGGATTACTTATTTAGAAACTTGTTTATATTTCAAATGCTCAATGGTATAAAAATCGAGTTTATTCGGTAATTAAATGGTTACACTTGTATTTTATTTTTTCATCACTTAATAGGTTGTATTAAAAAAACAAAACATATCAAAAGGTGCAACGTGAAAAGTTCTACAATCTACAAAGTAAAACTTATTTTGAAGACAAAAAGTATATAATTAAAATAAACTTTACTTTGTAGATTGTATCTTGTGGTACATTTTGTTTTTTAATAAAACATATTTAGAAATTAAAATATAAAAATGCAGAGTGCGGTCATTTAATCTGACGCAATCGTTATTTAAATATTAGAAATGACTTCGAATACAGTAAAATTAATCTGTTTTTTTTTGTCTTGCAATGATCTCGGCAGCACTTTTTTTTTCTATTATTCATCCGTGTCTTTCGTATTTAATAGATTTGAATGGCATGCACATGGCATAATACATGCTCACACATTGAGAAAAGATTTCTTTCGTTCTTGCCTTTTTTTTACTCGGTAACACAGCAAGACAAGAAAAAAGGTAAACACTTACAAACGTCACAAATATAAGTATACTCAAAAAAACAAGGAACAAACATATTTTTCACACTTTCTCTCGAACATTTATTTGTTCCCTAAGACATCTTTCATATATTCATTTATATTCTTTGTCTCATTATGTACAATTCATACTAAATTATCTATTCACTCCATTTATCGTCTGATAAGGGTAAAGGTAAAATGGGCACATATATATGGACGTAAATAAAAAGAAATGAGTAATACTGAATATGCATGAAATATGTATAACATTAAGTATGATGGTATATTTATTTACGCATCAAACTTCGATAATAAAGTTGCAGAGTTGAAAACACAAATACAATCATTTATTAAAGTTAGAATATGAGTAATGTATTGATTTTAATTTAGTTGAGCTGATCTTAGCGCTAAACTGTTTATTTTCCTCTATATAGTTTTCAAAACTTGACAATCGGATAGATGAAGTTTTTCATATGAAGTCATAAGAAGTGTTTATGAAACATTGTGGATGCATTGATAAATGACTGATGAATTAAAATCGGTTGAGTATAGATTGCGCATACCATACACGACTTGAAAAAATGTATAACATACTTCACTGTTTTTATTTATTTATTAGATCTAAATTTCAATTTGATTATAGATGGATGATATGGATAATGATATTCTATTTGAATTTGAAAGTTATGAAGAATTTCAGCGAGAACGATTGAAATTAAATGCAGAAAGTACATTAAAATTATGGTATTCATTACCTTCCAATCTAACAAATATTGATAATAAATTAATTAGACAACAAACATTAAAACAACAGAAAAAACGATTAAGAAATTTGAAATTTTTTGCAATTTACTCTATGTTTTTAAAAAAAACATTTCTCAAAAATAGAATCCGTTCTAAAGGTAAAACAAAAATCTAAAGATTTTATTTTCCATACATAACATTAGTTTTATTATCAATAGGTTTTCAACTTTGGAATAAAACATTTAATATTCCTTCATTAAATGATCCATGTCTTTATCAAATATATCAATCACTCGGACGTATAACTAATCAATTTCTTAATAAAGGTAAAGAATATGATTCAAAAATAAGTTATCAAGAATTATACAAAGCTGGTCGCACTGTTTGGTTTATGATCGCTTTTCAAATTCAACTCAATTTACCTTTAATTTTAACAGATTCAATATTTGGTTATAATATGCTTTATCCATATACTGATGATTTTATTGATTCAAATCAAGTATCAAAAGAAACAAAGATAGAATTCAAAAAAATCTTTCATGATAAATTACTTCATGGTCAATCGACATATAATTCTAATGCACATTTTCATGAAAAACAATCAAATGTTAATCATTTAAACATAGAAGCATATGCAGATAAATTAGAAAAAATTTTTGATATGGTCAAATTTATTGAAAATGATTGGAAACGTGATGAAAAAAATCGAGGAGTTTATATGTCTTTAGCTACTATTCATGAATCACAAATGAAATCAATATTACAACATGCAAAGATTGAAGATGGATATCAACCAACAATGACACTTATTGAACAAATTAGTGCAGAAAAAGGTGGAGCATCGTTAGTTGCGGCGGCATTTTTGATAGAAGGACAATTGACAAGAGCTAAAATGGCTTATTTAGAATATCTCGGATTTGCTTTTCAACTACTTGATGATTTACAAGTAAATTATATTTGATTGTTTTTGTTTTTTTGATTATTAAAATTATATTGAAAATCAAACTTTTAGGATTTTCATGAAGATATGAAAAATAATCATCGAACAATTTTTACTCAAACTTTTCTCGATGGAAAAACATTAGATGAACCAACAGGTCGTCTTATTCAATATTGTTATTCTTCACCTGCTTTTAAAATATTTTCTGATGATCAACGCACAATATCAGATTCAAAAAATCAATGTACATTAGCTCATTATGTGAGAATTTCGATGATGATGTTTGCAATAATACTTATTTTAGAAGCAGCTTCTCAATTAAAAAAATATTATTCAAAACAATTTTATCAAGATTTATCTACACTAAGTCCAATCCCATTTGATCAACTTAAGACTATTTCTGTAGAAGAAAAAATATGGGCTGTTGTACAAAATCAATGGTTTTAACATTTATTTTAAACGAAAATGTTTTTATATTTTATTCTTTAATTTTCAAATATATTAAATCAAAAAAACAAAAACAAAACAAAGACAATGCTCTTTTAGACTAGATTTTATTATCTTATTTTAAAGTGAATTAGTCATTCGATGAATATCGAAGTTTTATATCGAATCTTTGAAATCTATCGAATATATGCAGATGAGTACTAAAAAGATTTTCTCAAATAGAAAATACTTCAATTATTTAGTAATTACTTTAAGCTTCGAACATTTAACTATTTAGTTATCTAATTCAAATATTACATTGTTGATTTCTTCTCATCCTAATAAATTTGCTAGGCAAAGTCTTATTTCAACTACAAAAGGTAGTTTTGATTACATGTGAAATATGTTACTAAAGATAATTTTAATAGATTTATTTAATTAATAGAGATCTCTTAAAAAATATAAATTAAAAAAAGCAAAAAGTGTTCCGAAAAAAATAATCAAAACAAGATAGAAAATTTGAATGTGAAATGCGAAGCGAAAAAATACTTGATCTCGTCGAGGAATACATTTCAGATGTCTTGAATAGGCTAATTTTTCATCATTGGTTTCAATTGCATTCATACGAAAAAGAAAAGGAGTCCAGGGACTTTGAAAATAAATAGTGTACCATTTTTGAGGTTGGGAAAAAAATAACTTCCATAAACGAGGTTTGACTTTGAGTTGATTAGCTAAGAAATCACTATACTCAAATTGATTGACAAGTTGTTGAAGACGTCCTTCGTATGGATATAATTGAGCATGTCGTTTCCAGTATTTTTGTAGCCATATAGACATATTTGTTGGTGAAGGAAGACAATCTCTGCCGGAAAAGACTTGAGCAACACGACGAGCTTGCAATTCGGCAAGCGATGGAATTGAACCAAATACAGGTCGAGTACTTCCAACAAAAGCAAGATTAGGAAGATTGACAGGAAAGATTAGTTGATAAAGACATTCAATCTTGGTCTAATCGAATGAATTAAACTTAATTATTTTTCTTTGAGTTTAAGTAATAAAAGAACTAACTTCTTTTCTGAAATTGTCATTGAAAAATGAATGAAACCATCGATAACCAGTACAAAATAGAATATGATCAATATGTACCGGTTTTTCCTCATTATCAAAGGTTACTAACTGTTCCTTAATGCTGTTAATCTGTCTCTTTGGTATAACCATTCCTGATGCTACTTTATTGACGACTCCTCGACTTTTATTAATGAAACCATGGAAAAGTTGACATCGAGGTTTCCATTCCGCAATACCTGTTCCACCTTCGCCCCAGAAAGGTCGAATAAATAGTGTCCATCCGATTTTAGTCAATATGTTGTTGTATAAACCAAAGAATCCGAATGATTTGGGAAAAAGAATGTCAGCTGGTTGATCTCCAAAAAGACTTTCTTGAAACCATTGACCATCTCGAATACTCATGTAAACTCGACGAGCAACTGTCGAAAGTTCAACAGCCAAATCACTAGCCGTTTCACCTCCACCAACAATCAGAATTGTTTTATCACGATGAATTTTATCATCAGGTTTCTTATATGAAATACTGTGTGATGTAGTTCCTGTGAACCGATCGAATGGTTCAACATGATGAAGATCATTAGCTGTTTGATGTTGTCCGGTGGTTATTACCAATCCATCAAAATCTTCTTTTATTTCTTTTCCATCACATTGAAATGTCACTTGCCATTGATCATCTCGTCCTTTGTCGACTTTAATGATATCATATTCGAAATGCATATAAGACCATAAATTGAAATGCTTAGCATAGGAATTTAAATACTCAAGTACTTGATCATGTTTTGGAAAATGAGGTGTTTCGTCAGGTAGAGGAAAATCGGAGGCATGAAGATATGTTTTTGATGAAGTAACATGTGTCGACTGATAAACACCACCTTTTCGTTCTTTGTAAAGCCATACTCCACCAAGATTTGATTCACGTTCATAGAGTCGAGCATCAAGTTTTTCTTCCAACAAGTATTTCAAAGCATATAGACCAGACCAACCTCCACCGATCACGGCGAACTTCTTTTTTTCCATCTCTTTATGTCTACTATAATGTTAAATCATTAAAAAAACTTTCAATCAAAAACAAATGCATATGATTCATCTCGCACAGAAATATAAATGTTTTACGCAACTACATTCATGTTAATTGCATTTTTCACCTTTCATTTATTCAGTAAAGAGAATAAATATTGTTTTTTTGTATACAAAAGATTGGAAAAAAGCACATGTCAAGCGAAAAAATTTCGTTTATTTATTTGTTGTACATTATAAAAACGAAAGAAAGGAAAGAATACATTAAAAGAGTGAAGTTATGTGTCGTAGAGTAAAAACAATTTTTTTTTATTTCGCTTCTTTCTCAAATGGATGCCATGTCAACGAAAGAGAGATTGTACAATTTACAATTTTCTAGATTTATCCATATTGCATAATAGACCGAGTGCAATCAAGATTATAGCATCATTTTTTCATCTATATACATAGATAGGCAATGACAATCCTCTTCAAACAATAATCTATCAAAAAAAACATCGAAATACGCCATTATTTTATCAAATCTTAATAGCAGCAATAATCATATATAATGAAGTCTAAAGTACTTATTTTATTCATCATGATTGATACATAGAAATTAGATAACATATATTAGCTATTCGATTCGGTGTATGTACTCGAACTAGAGAACAAAGTTATTAGTTTTATTCTTCTTTGTTTCGTATTTAAAGATATTGGTTGGATGAGTGATACTCGATTTTTTTATCTGGCAAAATGAAAACGTCGAGTTATAGTAATAGAAAGAGTTAAGCGAATTAGGCAGGATGTTTTTAAAATAGAATGAAACGTTGAAAGCTGGGTTTTGGTAACAGCTATTAGTGCTAAATAATCAATCACGTAGCAGTCTTTATTGTTCATGTATTTGCACTCGATAAAAGGTTCAGCAGCCGGTTTCGTGTTCCATATATGTTAAGCTACAGAAGCATCAGCAAAATTCTTATCATCACGAACTCATATCTCTCCCTTATGTGCTTCTTCTTTCTATCGTTGTTTCACGTGGTTATGGTAAGTATATTTCTTTATTTTTCTCGGCTTCAATCATGTCTTCTCGTGCGTTTGTACTCTTATTGTTCACGATACTACTAATTGATTTTGCATACACTTCATGTCCTACCAATTGGACTGCTTTCAATAGAGATTGTTGCTCTTCAACTTTCGGATTCAACTCAACCGCTTCTACTTTTCACTTGGCTATCGATACTGATTGGACAACGAACAGGAAATGAATCAAGTCCCTATATGCACCAAGTAGACTGGTCGATATAGTCAGAATATTTCATCAGCCCGGCATGGGATTGTACGGACTGCAGTTTCACAACTTATCAGGTTAGTATTGAGGAAACAAGAAAAGAGATATTTGTTCCAATAGCTAAGAATTGAGATGGAGCTAAAGTTTTGAATGTGCTCTCTCCTTTGGTAGAAGAAGAATCAAAATTCCTACCGTCCCACAAGATTGTGAATGTGAAGTAAAGCAATTTCATTTTGTGATTCTGTCGAATAAACGATCTAGAAAGGCGAGAAGTATTAGTCACGTTACACACTCATATAATGGCTTCTCGAGCAAATGCTAGATTCTCTTTTCTCAAGTAAGCACTCATTCTTATCGAAAGAAAATGTTTGTATGTTTCATCGGATTCGAAAATAAGAGTAGTGGTTATATTTCTGTTTTTCGAACAAAGAATCAGCAAAGAAAATTCAAGAGATGTCCTATGGCTAGTATATATTTTGATCGGGGAAGACATTTTAAAGGAATAGGAAGATTAAAATTCTTCGACTAGAATAATCAGTTATTTCAACTGGCAGAATAATTCTCTTGACCTTCATATCTTTTCTTGTTTCTCTTAGGCTTTAGTTCTGTTATTTGTTTGGCTACTAGGAGCATGCTTCAGGATGGAACGAACAATAAAGCACCGAGACAATGACGATAATTTGATATTATGTCTGTTTTTTCATTATTTTCATTTAGACCATACCAAAAGTGATGGCAGTAACACTTTAATATTGTATAGCATGCTTTAAGAAACTTTCTCTCTCTATATATTCTGATAGAGAAAAGGATGCTCTATTTTTCTATGTCATTTGATCATACCTCTACTAATAAGATGCATCGAATCGTACATTTCAGGTGTTCTTAACCTTTTTCTTTATAAGGTTTTCAATTAATCTTTCTAAGAACAAACCTATCCTGTAAGTTGTTTATAGTGAATTTTTGATAATCAGATGTATATTCAAACCATTAATCAAACATCTACAAACTGTGGAAGGTTCAAATGTTTAAATGTAATCCAGTTCCTAATACAATTTTTTCGCAATTTCTATGAAAAAAATCACTCCTTTTTGCTCTTCGTTTTTTTCATAAAAAACCATTTTTTCAACAGTTAGAAAAATGAGTAAAAAAATTTCAGATATTATACAGGGTGATCCAAAAGTCTTGATACCTCTCAGAAAAATTGTTCGTTCTCCCTTATAGTAAACTCCAAAATGCTCAAACTTTGGTATCTCATTTCTTGTAGCATGGCGAATATTATCCTAAATTTTCAGCTCTCTATCCTGACAAATAAGAGAGATGTATAGACTAACATTCTTGAAATCTTATTTTCTCTATGTCGCAAAAATAGTAGTTGGCGTATAATAAATGGGCCACTTTTGCATTTCATGTTTCCATCACTTGATACGTTGTATTAAGAAAACAAAATACACTACAAGATGCAGCGTGAAAATCTCGACAATCTACACAATAAAGTATATTTTAATTATATAGTTTTTGGTTTCATAAAAAAGCAAAACTCTATGCGATCGATGTTCGTCGTCGTAAAAAAAAATCGTTTTTTCTGCACGACCGAAAGATTCGTCTTTTTTCACCCTTTTTATCACCTAATAAGTTTCACTAAGAAAAAGCAAAATATATCACAAGATGCAGCGTCAAAAGCTCTACAATTTACACAGTACAGCATATTTTAATTACGTAATTGTTGTTTTCAAAAAAAAGCAAAACTCTGTACAATTAACTTAAAAGTTGATCGCACAAATTTTAGCTTTTTCTTGAAAACAACAATTACATAATTGAAATATGCTGTACTGCGTAGATTGTAGAACTTTTCACGCTGCATCTTGTAGTGTGGGTATGGGTGTGGGTGAGGGTGAGGATGTGTGTGTGTTTCTCTATCCCGGGTCAAAGATGAAAGATTCCAGAATTTTCATTTATTACACATTCTAACAGCTATTGATCGTTCTGTTCAATCTCTGATTGTCTTTCGACTCTGATCCACTTCTGCTTTACTTTTCATGTATTTTTTCCGCAAATGAGAAATGATTGTAGAATTCCATTTAATCAATTGTCAAAAAAGTTGATCCTTCACACCGACATATAAAAGTATCAAGCACGTTGACAAATTATTGAATCGTATTTATCGGACAAATTACTTTGTTTTCCCTTTGGATAAACTTCACTGCTTTCCGTACTTTTCATTTCAGCAATACAGCAATATTTGCTAGCACTTGACAAAATTGATACTCAAACCAATACCTGAGACATGTCGAGAAAAATACTGAAAACTTTCTCTCTAATAAACAAAGAAGGTAAAGAACGAAAGACAGAGAAAAAAACGTCATTAAACTTGTCTCTTTCTTTCCTTCTTCGCAAATATTGTTGATTTTCGTCGTTTTCTTGTGTTATCGCTTATCTTTTTCGGTTGTTTCAACACTGTGACTTCATTCCTATCTGAATTTTAACCATATTTATGAGTCACAATTCATTTTTCTTAGTATATGTCGTCAAGGTATATGAAGAATGATTATTAGGCAATCAAATTGCTCGAAATGCTGAACGCTAGAGGCTTTATTCAGCATCTGTAGACATGTGGCTTTCGAGACATTTTTTACTATTAAACCTAATTGAATGCTTGATGCATCGTGAAAAGATTCATTATTGCCACTGCCTGGGTACTAAGTTCGTTCTCAAACCCAAGTTTTTCTATCTTGAGGGTGTGGGGATCGGTTTCGTTGTTGACTTAACTCACACTCTAATCAGTCTAAAATGAGCTTACGGAAAAAACAACTTGATTCAATACTATATTATCTGATTTGTTTTTTGTTAAATCGGACAATATACGGTGTTGTTTTATCATGACATAAACGGAGATAGATTATATCTCTTCTCTTATTGTTGTAAATTATCATTGTATATACATACTTCATGGCTTTATTTTTGTATTTAATATAATAATATTCTTTTAGGTAAACGGCTTTTAGATTGACAGGATGCTTGAAGCGTAATAATTCAACACACAGAAGTGTACGCCATCTATTACAAGCGTTTTTTTAACGTTTCCATGGAATGGAAGACATGTTATAATGGGATGACAAAAACAATTCTTTATGATTATTGTTTTGAATTTTGTTTTTGGACTTCGTAGTAGAAGTATGAGTGAGGAGAATAATAATAATGAAAATATGTCACATCGTTCATCTGTCTTTGTACCTTTCGAGTCTCTTACACAACGAGTTATCAATTCTATAGTTTCAGTTGCAACAACATTTCGTAAGCCTAATTTTGATTACAGTGAACGTACGATTCTCATATTTTTGCTTGAAATAAATAAAAAACTAAAAGAGATTGAAAAAAAAATCCAAGAAAATAGCACAGAAATCGATCAACAATTGATTCAATATGCACAAAATGTTCGAAAATGGCTCGTGGATATAAATAAACAATCATTAAATTGGATAGAACTTGAAAAGAAATATAGTAGAATTGCCAATCAAAATTGTGATGAAATGGCTCGTTATTATGGATCTAATAGTGCCGAACCTTATTTTGAATTAAATGTCAAAACTGTAAGTTGTTGATAGGGCTATTTTTAAAATTAATCATCGAACTAGAAAAATTTTGAACACTTTTTATTTTATTTCTCGCAAAAACAATCATAATAAATATTTTTTTCGAGAAAATTTTTTGATCGAATCATATACAAAAA